CCACCCATCCAGAGCTTACTGCTCAAAAGGTGGAAGCAGACACTGCACAAATAACTGCTCATTTAATTCTTTACAAATTGCTGAGTGCTATGAAGAAGTTAAAAATATATATTATATTGAAGACACGACTTGCCAGTGTCCATCTAGTGCTGCCACACTTAGAATTATGCCTAGATCACCACGTCCTATTTATACTGTGTGACAAAGAGACAGCAGGAAGAATTTAGACTGAAATTCACCTGAGGGATGTGTCATCCCTTCGTGATTCAGTTTTAACACCAGCCTGCCCTCGCTTCCAGGTTAGTGCACCATCAATTATATTTATAGTATTGATTCTGTTAATTATCTGGTAGACATTTGGGCATTTGGGATACGCAGTCCTCTCTAGTCGCTCCACCAGGTAACTGAGTTAATTGGAAATGGACCCTGTGATAATAAGGTTCTGATTATGAACTGTAGTACCTTCCATTTAAGGAAAAAACGTTATAATTTCCCATTTTTACACACGCTTTATCTCTCTGGTTCTCCAGGCACAGAAAAAAGAAAAAGACCATCTTCCTTCCCATAGACTTGGTTGTAGTGATTTTTAGTAATACAGAAGGTGAACTACTCCCTGCCACAACCCCAGGAGCCCCGGACAGTCCGAGTGATTAAGAGCATGAACCTGGTATTAGACTGTGGGTTCGAATCTCAAGCTTCCTAGCTGTGTGACTTTAGGCAAATGACTGCACTTCTCTGTTTTACTTTTGGGGGCTGTAACCCAGGGATAATGATAGTATCTAAAGGATGGCTGTGGGCGTTACAGTGCCTAAGGGATGTAAGGCCTTTGAATCTCTCATGGATGCTCAACAAGCACTCAATCGAGGTTGATAGCACTAGGTAGTTACTGTTTCTACTACTGGTCTACCCACTCCCACCATTGTGTAGTTTCACTCTTACAAAGCCAATATCCTCATCAATTTGTGGACATTTGAGGGCACATTGCATGACCTAAAATACTTTGCCTTTCATTAGCTGAAATATGTTTTTGCTACCAGGACATGGCACTCTCTCTTCCTTCCATAATAGAGCCTAAACCAATGGGCTCCTGAGGAAAATTCCTGGGGTTCAATAGAATCTAAGCTATTGTAGCACTGGAAAGTTTCTAAAACCAGTGGCTCTTAAAAAAGAACTTATCAAAAATTAAAATGGGTAGAAATTAGCAATTTGATTTGTAATCAGCACTCAGAGGTGTGCTTTCTGTTCAAACGCTATGTCCGTGCCCAGGAACGAAGTCAAAGTAATACCAAGAAAATACCTAAATATCCTGAAAATGAATTACAGACCTTGGAAATTGCTGCTGGAATTAGAAGCCACCTTTCTGTTTATTCAGAGCCCAAATGTCATTGTCTTCTCACTCTCCTATTTACGCAGCTCTGCACCCACCCTGGGCATGT